AATAAAGTAAAAGAGTCAAAATTAATTGAAATAGCTATATTAGGCCTAAATTAAATATCTACGTGCTAAAATATGAAAAATCTTGGGGAGGGTCAAAAATCACATGTCTACAGCTGCCCCTCTTTGACTGAAAACGCGAAGAGTTTTCAGACAAAGAATGTCTAGACATGTTTTTTGACCCGACCCTTATTTAAAGAGACCAAAAACTAAGAGAAAGGAGAATGTGACCGAGCCCTGGTATCCTTGGCTATAAAGGAATCAGGCCACGTGTAGTTCAGAGGTGAATGAGGTGATGGAGTACTGAGGTGGAGAGCCGATTGAGGTGCCGTTCCGTCGAGGTTCCGGTCCGCTGTCCCGTTATTATATCAAAATTAAAAAATGAAAAAGACCAACTAAGCCTATCAACTACGAGTTACAAGAATCCTATCTATGAGTCTTTTGAAGCTTGATCTTGAGTCTTGGTTGGTTCTTCATGCGGACTCTGATATGAATCTTGATGCTTGTTAGCTGCTGGTGCTGGTTCTTTCTTCTTCAGCTTTTCGGATCAAGGCGGGACATGCGACGCTTGTGACTTCAATCATATCTTGAGCAGTCCATATCTTTCTCCGCTTTTGCACTTTGAGTTCACTTCTTTTTCTTTTTTCTTCTTTTATTTATTTTGGATTGAGACTCATTCTATTGGTCATCTCGAACCCTGTGCCTTGAGGTAAAACCTGCTCAGACACCAAAACAAACAAATGAACGAAATTTTTCTGCCCCAGTTTTCACTAGGAAAATTTTGTGAGTTATTTGTAACTAAGCTCTAAACTTTTTTTTTTTGAAAGCGATAAAATAAGGGTTGTGTGTCTTCAAAAGGAAAAAGAGACTAGGGAATGGAAAATCTCAACTCAGGGACTGAAACCCTAATATTGGCAAAAAGTCGACTAGGGAATGGAGGCCCTATATCTAAAATCTCAACTTAGGGATTGGAGCCCTAATGTTGGCAAAAGGCGACTAGGGAATGGAGGCCCTATGTCTAAAATCTCAACTTAGGGATTGGAGCCCTAATGTTGGCAAAAGGCGACTAGGGAATGGAGGCCCTCTGTCTAAAAATCTCAACTTAGGGATTGGAGCCCTAATGTTGGCAAAAAAGGCGACTAGGGAAAGGAGGCCCTATGTCTAAAAATCTCAACTCAGGGATTGGAGCCCTAATGTTGGCAAAAAAAAGCGACTAGGGAATGGAAGCCTTATGTCTAATAATCTCAACTCAGGGATTGGAGCCCTAATGTTGGCAAAAAAAAAGGCGACTAGGGAATGGAGGCCCTATGTCTAAAATCTCAACTCAGGGATTGGAGTCCTAATGTTGGCAAGAAGGCGACTAGGGAATGGAGGCCTTATGTCTAAAATTCTCAACTCAGGGATTGGAGCCCTAATGTTGGCAAAAAAAACTAGGGAATGGAGGCCCTATGTCAAAAATCTCAACTAGGGATTGGAGCCCTAATGTTGGTAAAAGGCGACTAGGGAATGGAGGCCCTTTGTCTAAAATCTCAACTTAGGGATTGGAGCCCTAGTGTTTGCAAAAAGGCGACTAGGGAATGGAGGCCCTATGTCTAAAAATCTCAACTCAGGGATTGGAGCCCTAATGTTGGCAAAAAAGGCGACTAGGGAATGGAGGCCCTATGTCTAAAATCTCAACTCAGGGATTGGAGCCCTTTGGAGCCCTAATATTGGCAAAAAAGGCGACTAGGGAATGGAGGCCCTATGTCTAAAATTTTCAACTCAGGGATTGGAGCCCTAATGTTGGCAAAAAAGGCGACTAGGGAATGGAGGCCCTATGTCTAAATATCTAAAGTTAAGGATTGGAGCCCTAATATTGGCAAAAAAGGCGACTAGGGAATGGAGGCTCTATGTCTAAAATTTTCAACTCGGGGATTGGAGCCCTAATGTTGGCAAAAAAGGCGACTAGGGAATGGAGCCCTAATGTTGGCAAAAAAGGCGACTAGGGAATGGAGGCCCTATGTCTAAAAATCTCAACTTAGGGATTGGAGCCCTAATGTTGGCAAAAAAGGCGACTAGGGAAAGGAGGCCCTATGTCTAAAAATCTCAACTCAGGGATTGGAGCCCTAATGTTGGCAAAAAAAAGCGACTAGGGAATGGAAGCCTTATGTCTAATAATCTCAACTCAGGGATTGGAGCCCTAATGTTGGCAAAAAAAAAGGCGACTAGGCCCTAATGTTGGCAAAAAAGGCGACTAGGGATTGGAGGCCCTATGTCTAAAATTCTAAACTCAGGGATTGGAGCCCTAATGTTAGCAAAAAAAAGGCGACTAGGGAATGGAGGCCCTATGTCTAAAATCTCAACTCAGGGATTGGAGCCCTAATGTTGGCAAAAAGGCGACTAGGGAATGGAGGCCCTATGTCTAAAATTCTCAACTGAGGGAGTGGAGCCCTAATGTTGGCAAAAAGGCGACTAGGGAATGGAGACCCTATGTCTAAAAATCTCAACTTAGGGATTGGAGCCCTAATGTTGGAAAAGCGTAAAAGTAGAGATTGGGGTCCTAAGCTACCATTTTTTTTTGAATTTTCTTCTTATCTCTTTTTATCATTTCAATTTCCTTTTTTTTCGTGGAATGAGTAAATGCGGGAAAAAAACTTGGAGGGGACTTCTCTTTTTATGGATTGTTGTTGCAAAGCTGTTTCTAGCCCTTGCGCATTTCTTTTTCCTTTTCTGGTTGCACCTGCTTCTTGCACGGTTGCTTTGGATTGCACCTGTTTCAAATTTTTCAAACAAAGAACAATTGTTAGTTTGAAATGGTGGTTGGTTTTGTGGCCTTGATTGTTTTGATCACTTGATCTCGGCTCTTTCAACTGCAACCGGTTGCTTCCTGAACACCGATTGCCTTTCTGACTCTGGAGAAACTATGGCTTTTCCAGACTTTGTCATGATGATTGGTCGGTGGAGCTCAACCTTTTCGACTTTATTTTGCCTTCGTAGGCCTTTCCTTTCTGACTTCCTTTTCTTTTTTTTCCTTTTTTTTCTTTTTTTTTCTTTTTTTTCTTTTCTTTCCTTCGGAACATTGGGGAACTTTTGGCTCCTCAAACTTTGCTACAACGGCTAGTCGCGTGGGACTTAACCTCTTCCAACTTTATTTCGCCTTTGTAGGCCTTTCTTTTCTGGCTTCTTTCTTCCAAACTTCAAATTCAAAGCATTTGGGGTACCTTGGCTTTTTTCAACTCTTTGCCGAGACGGTTAGCCACGTGGGACTCAAACTTTTCAACTTCATTTGCCTTTATAGGCGCTTTAATTTGATTTTCTCCTTCCAAGAGTTTTGATTTCGACGCATCGGCCGCCATGGCTAGTCGGGGTCGACTTGATGCCCGTGACGAGGCTGGGTGCCTTTCTGCACATTAACTCGCGCCAAATGAGAACCCTGTAAATCAGTCTTGCCATCCTTTCTTTGTCTTAGTTTCAGAACAGAGTTACACCGAAAGAGATTCAAAGAAAACAAACAATGGAATGGAGAATGAGTTTAAAACAAGAAGTGTCCCTTTCGGGGAAAGGAAAGAAGGACTTATCACTACAACAAATGTGATATTTAGCTACAAAACTTTTAGCTACGACAAAAAATTTGTCACTGATTATTAACTTTTCGTGACAAAAATTACCTATTGTGCCTAAATACACGAGTCACTTACTTTTAGTGACGAAATACAAAATTTTGTAGCAAACTTTTGTCCACTAACGTTTCCCACCAAAAAATGAATTGGCGCCATTTACTTAGAAATATTTAGCTACAAAGATAATATTATTAGTGACGAAACTTTTTTTGTCATTGACATTGTATACCATTTGTGAGGAAATATCTTTTGTCTTAATAAATGCTTAAATTTACATACAAAAAAGTTTCGTAACAAAAAAATTGTTAAAATAGCAACAATTAAAAATTTGTAGCTAAATAATGCGAACTTTAGCTACAAAAATATTGTACTTATTTGTGACCATAGTTTTTGTCACTAATAAGGTAGATAATTTGTGACGATCATTCTATTGTCCCTATATGATACTTAATTTAGCCACGATGAGGTTTTGTCTCAAAAAAATATAGTGTCTAGCTACAATTAAAAATTCGGTCACAAATCACTATTTTTTGTGATAAATATTAGATTTCATATTTGGATGTTCTAATTTAGGGATGATATTCAAATTTTTATAACAAACTTTTTCTAATAAGATTTACCACTAAAAAAATATTAAACAACAGAATACTATTTAGCTACAAAAATAAAATTGCTGATCACATAAATTATTTAATCACTACAAAAAAAGGGTTAATTTTGGGCGGTTTTATTGCAGAGGTTAATAGTGACCTCCGCAAATTGCGGGTAAATTTCAAAAATAGCCAGATTTATAACTGGTCGTTCAAAAATAGCCCAATTTCAAATGTAATCGAAATTTAGCCACTTTTTATATAAAGATAAATTTGAGCGTAAACACTGTTCAAAACCCGGAAAATACTCCAGCATATTATGTTGGAGTTTCAGCATAAGTATACTTGAACTCCAGCATATTATACTGGAGTTCTAGAATAAGTACGCTAGAACTCCAGCATAATATGATGGAGTTCCAGCATAAGTACACTAGAATATACTGGAGTTCCAGCAAGTATATTGGTCCAGTATAATATACTGGAGTTTGGAGCAACGGTGCTCCAGTCTCCACTATATTATACTGGAGCCAGCAAAGTATACCGGTCCAGCATAATATGCTGGAGTTCATACAAAAGTGCACCGAACTCCAGTATATTATGCTGGGCCGGTCTCTATTGTAGCAAAATAGTGGCTATTTTTCATTGACTTGATAAATGCTGACTATTTTTGATTGACCTGTCCGAAAACTGACTATACCGTGCTATTTTTACCAAATTGCTTCAGTGTTGGGCTTTTGGCGTTTCAGATATCCTCGCTATTCTAGTGCAATTTTCGAAGGTTTCTTAAAATAAACCCCTGCAATAAAATCATTTGCCTAATTTTTAGTTGGCGGGCCTTTATTTCCCCTTTCCCTCTCATTTCTTTTTCCCAACCCCCTTTCCCTCTCATTCTACTAAACTCTACATATCTAACCAAACCCTAACTCCCTCTCTTTTTCGATCAAAGTTTCGGGGTTCTCAGAATTCCCCCCATCGTGACATTCGTCACCACACAAAAGCTAGATGAAGAAAGGTTTGCGAAACTTTGGAGCGAGAAACTGAAGATTCTCTCTTCTTTCACAGATCAAAATTTCTCTTTTGTTTTGTTTTTGATTCCTACTCATCTCAAGTCAGCCAATGGTTGGTTCTGGTAATTTACTCAGTAATTGTTTTGTTAGTATTATGTTTAATTTGCAGTTTTTATCCGATTTTTGTGTGTGCGTGTGTGTTTGGCAGATTCAGATAAGGAGTATGGATTCGTGTGCTTAGACGAGGTGCCCGATGAACATGACTTTGATGCTGAGAACCGATACTACAACTCCAGAGGTTTTCTCTTTAAATTTCAAGAAGAATACTACAGAGCTTTCATTTTTTGATGAAAACAGAGTTTTTATTTTCAACTTTATTTTTCGATATCCTATTGAATTGTCATATAAAGCTGTATTTATAATCTGGAAATTTTCTGCAACAACATTTGTTCTTGACTGTGAACTGGTCGCATATGACCACGAGAAACAAAAAATCCTGCCCTTTCAGGTGAATCATATGCACCTAGTCTATATATATTTTGGAGTTCTAGATTTATCCTTGGGACTACAAAGGTGGCTAGCAGTAATCAAGCTCCAATTATCAATTCCAAACTAAGTTTGACTTTTGGTCAAGTGAAAGTTGATGCCAATCAATACCGGTCCCTTACTCTTATCACCACATTTGATTCTCAGTTTCCAGCAACTGCACCTCCCAGTTCTGGGTTGAATTTTAACGTGTGTACCTTGAGACTCAAAAGTTTGCTGGAAAGTGATAGTGCAAGTGACCATTACCCCCTCCCCCCCTGTTTATTAAGTGATATAACTCTTACATGTGAAGGATTGAGTATTTGTGAAAGGAAACACAAAAGAGAAACTATGAGGTCAAAGTAAAAAAGAACATGGAATGAGGCTAGAAGATGTGGAGAGATATACTTCCGAACAAAAGTTATGAAATTATGTTTTGATCAGTAGCTAATCTGGAGAGATATTATCATGTTATATTTATGTGTAATTAACTAAGTATGGTGTAAAATAAGGTGATACTTATGGATATATGTTCATGGCAGATCCTTAGGACACGTGCTCGTAAGAATGTTGTTGGGAGTGAAATCAAGGTCAACGTTTGCATATATGGTTTTCATATCTTGTATCTTAATGGACAACCACTTCTTTAAGAGCAACTTAACGTTTGCAGAAGGTATTTTCATTTTTGCAGTTGAATATTTGCTTTTAATTCTCATGATTATATTGTTTTTCTTTTGCTTCAGTAAATTCTTGTGTTATTTATACCATTTTGTGCTTCTGCGGAAAACTAAGTAGCATTTGGTACCGAGTGCATTGTCTATAAGTGAAATGTCTTATTTTTAAATAGCATATTTTAAGTGTTTTACCGACGTCTTATGCTGCTATGAGATAGGAGAAAACATCATTGTGAAACACAACTCTGCTTGTGTAGCTTCGCCGGATGTAATTTCTTCTGAAACATGGATTTTGGCAGTAATATTTTTTCAAAGCTAGAAAGGTAGTGGTGTTTATGCAACTGAGTTTTGTGATGATATATATGAAAATAAATATGTAATTAAGCTCTTGCCGTGTGAATTTCTAACAACTTCTGCATAATGCCCTTTTTTAAATCAAGTGGCAAATTTAACTGCTAGAAGATTTTTATTTGGTAAAAATTTTGCTGAGAATTGATTGCCTTTAAATCTTCTTTTTTATTGCCCCTTTTTTTCTTTATGGTTTCCCTTTTCTTCTGTGTGATTCTTTGTTCATCTTGTGCATCTCGTTTTTTCAATTGGCTCCTATTCACAAACTTACCTGGTTTTTATTAACCATCAGTAAGTAAGTAATTTTATGATAACCATCTTGCTTTTGGAGAAAACGAGGAATAGGGTAAACATGACTCGAGCGTTGATGCTAATTTTAAGAATTTCTCTGTTATGCTCTTATGTGAATAGGACAAGTGCTTTGCTTTACTAGGTACTAGTCAGCCATATTAGAAAAGTTAGAACTATAATAGTTATATCTTCGGTAACTTATCTAGTAAACGTGGAATCAGGTATCCTAAAAGCCAGAGTTGAATTGCCATTGGCCTTCCTTTGATAGCTTTCTCTATAAGCTTAGTAGTCTAGCTATAGATTACAATTGAAAGTTAACACCAATCACCAATTCATATCAGGAATATTTTTAGAAGGAAAAGATAATATTTTGAGAAAATCTCATCTTTGAGATCCTTCGGCACTACTGGGAGGAGGTTTAGCAGCAGTTATTATCACACTTTTTCTCTACAAGCTCACCACCACCATTGGATTATCTCTTAATCATCAAGTGCTTTCAGATGAATCTTTTCGGATTGTATCTCTGTTTTCTTGAAAAATGCTATTTTTATTCTTCCATTTTTCT